AAAGAGTTCATTCAGCCCCGACGGTGACTTCGCCACTCCGATCGGCGAGGATCCCCGCGATATCGATTTAATATCCGCAGAACGGAATTCATCGAGGTCCTTCGTTAAGTCGAGAATCGCGCGAGCGACGGTCAAAAGGATTTCCTCGCCGATTGATACGGTCACGTTATTCCCGACAAGTCAAACGAAGAAGCCACGGAAAGTATTAGCCCACGATTCAACGTGGAACGAACGAAAATGGAGAAACCGCAGGCGAAACGGAACGACGGCTCTTTGGGAAAATGCGGATGAACTTCCTCGTAAAAAACTGAAATTTTGATAAGCGCGACAGGCTTAACAGAGTTTAAGAAGATAAGTATCGAGGTGATAAGGATGTACGGTATTATGCAATGCAAGAAGATGGAAGCGTGTAATTAACGTTCCAGCGGCGAGGTAGGTGGCTTGAATTATAATCGCCGTGTTATTAAACGCTCCGGCGTGAAAAAAAAACTTGATACGACCTGCAAAATTATGGACGCGCGTGGATATAAAATTAGAAATTGATGTTCCAGATAACTTTCTGGTGAAATAATTCCCGAGCACGCCGTATTTTAGCTCGCAGCTGTACCGCGGCGTCCCTTTAACTTCGTCCGCCGCGCAATGGTTAATGGGAGCACGCCTTTTTTCACTTCCCCGTCACTGGGTTTTTAATGAAAGGACTCGATATCGTCTCGTTACCGTTTCCACCGGGCACAATACGGCGGCTCGCGTTCTTCTTCGGGAGAAATTGCGTTATCGGGACTGTAATCAAACCCCGACGGCCATTAAAGTCATTAACCTCGGCGGAAGTTGAACTTCATTTAAAATGTTCGATTCTTCGTTGAAATAACACTCGGGAGAACATGATTTTGGGCGGGACAATGTAAATTTCATTCGCGTTCGAGTGTAAGGGAAACAGAATGGTTCGATAAACAGAACAATAAAATTCATTTACAGGGAAAAAGGTTTCATCAAATTATCGGGAAAATATGATACAATAACGAATATTCATCGCGGCTGATTGAAAACGAGAGAAGCAAATAATAACGGCGCAGGATTGAATTACACGAATCAATTGTTGCGCGCGTGTAACAGAAGCGTTTGGAATGCGATCAACGGGAACAATAGATTCGCGGATATACGTATCTATATCATTTTGAATTCCGATTCGAGGATCATTGTCGGCGACAAAGAAAAAAACAGGTGAAGAAAAAGCATTCGTTACGTACGATACGTGCCAGATTAAATTGATACGCGATTTATCGCGCAAGTATGCAACGGAACGTCGAACAGATCGCGTGTCTGTCCAATGCTATTTCTACATCCGTTAATATTTATACACGGTTACTGTATATCATACTTCGGTTCGCATGACTAACTAATATGAAGTGATCAAAGATAAACAGATCGATGGAACACGATACGATCATCCTTTCCAATAATACACCCTGCAAGTAGAATCAGAAACTAATAGTCAGCCAATGGATTCAGGAGCACGAGTCTCCCTCGAAATCGATTTTTAGAACGTTCAACTTGAATTTTTCAAACTTTCGACACATGAAATTAAAGCTTGATGTCTGTACTGTAACATGCAAGTAGTACTGTTAAAAAATATTAGGAGAATTTGTTGAAAATCGCGACTAAACGTGATTGAAACCTAAAGGTGATTGAAAACTAAGTTGAATCCATCAGGGTCGATCTGATTTTGGAAATGTTCCATTGGAAATTTTTCAACTTCCATTATATTAAATTAAAGCTCAGAGCGTGCACTTTGATGTGCAAGAGGTTTCGCTGGGAAAGAATTACGCTGACCCACTAGAAATCGTGACCGATCGAGTGGTCGTGTCGAATGGGTTGCACCAGAAGGGACACGTTCAGCGGGAAATCGTAAACGCACGACCGATCTGCTCGAAATTTACGAGCGCTGGTGGGACAGCTTTTATTATAACACCGTATAGATAAGAGCTGGAAACGTGGCGCGATGAACGATGAGCACTTTCGATCCGGGCACGCGGGTCCACGTGAAAAATATTTTCCGGCTGGGTAGCGCCGAAACAGAGACACCGGTTTCATGGAAAAATTGATAACTCGATTCATCATCCGGGCACTGACTGTCGAAATACGGAGCCGTGTTCGTATCATAAATCATTTACTCGCGCAATAGGATTCGAAGGAAAAACAAATCGTACTCCATAAGAGGAATCTGATGAACCGAAGCTAATGACAGATTGCGCATTGTCCGGCCGAATTCGCGACTCCGCTCGTCGCTTCATAAAAACGAAACAAACGTTACAATCAATATTTGTAAATTCGAAAAATCCTTCGGTCCCTTTCGTTCTTCAAAATGGCGGAGGAATATATGAGCCGTTTATTCGGAAAAAAATCAATTTAATCGTTATAATGGTTACCATTCTAAATAACCTTCTCAATTTTTAATGGTTCCTAATCTTTTTTAACTGGACTTAAGCCACTTTCAAAATAAACTGTTCATACGAACATTATCGAAATGTTTAAAAGACAATGAAAGAATTAACGTGAAAAAACGTTTAACACGATTGATATCTAATCCCTATAAAAATTGTATTATTTTCAGTTTCTTCGGACACTCATCATAGTGTTCGAGTGAAACTACTTACTATTCCGAATATTCAATGCCTTTCAGATATCAATAATCGCGAAACAAAAAAATCGAAACCAGTCGCTTTGACTAATACGGTCAAACGCTGCCATTGCTAAATCACAAAATTTCATGATGAAGCTTTCAAAAGTTGAGTCTCCGGGACTTAATATCGCTCGACCTAGAAATGGTTTACTGTCTACGTCGATGGCGGCCAAGAGAGAATAAGGTTTAAACGAGACAGTAAGGTCGACGATAAAAAAAAAAGCCAGATCGACCGTCTTCCTTGCGTCGAGAGAGTCCCGTCAAGTGTTATTTTAGAATTAAGGGCAACTGCCACCCGGTATATCGTAAACACCGGCCGTTGCACGGAATGAAGGGAAGAGCGCGGGTAAACCGACTGTTAAACAGGTTATCTCGATGGGCAGGGAGGGTACCAAAATGGCTGACGCGGTTCAGTTTGCCACGCAGTCAGCGTCGGTCCTGTTCCCCATGTTATCCATGAAGAAGCAATGGAAATTTTCTGGGTCCATAGAAATTGACCGGACGAAACGGTCCCTCGAATTGAATTAGCGATCGTTCACGGGTTACATGAGAAGCAATTTGCCAAGCAATGGTTCTTGTCCTTCAAGCCACCTTCCCACCATAGCTAATGAGTTGAGATCTTAAAAGATGTCGCGTTCGAACGTCGACATAAATATGAAGTTGAAATTTCGAATTTAATATGAATCTTCGTCTCCTGTTATAATTGGATGCCACGAATTTGTTAAATTAATGCGAAGTGTTATCTTAATGTGCAACTGTTGGTGTTATATACATAGAATAACCTATGAACCATTTTCTATGGAATCGAATACGAGGGGTGAAATTATTTCTCACTGGAAATATTTTCCGACGAGATATAGATGACGTGGTGAAGATTTTAAATATTTAATAAATATAAATATTATTATTCAAATTAAATGCTATTCTCTTGGCAATCATTACACTTTAGACCACATAGACGCAGAATCTTTATTTCCAATGAATTATTAACTCTTTGAACTCGAGAGCTCCGGGCCATTTAAAATTCGTCATTACAAACTGCAAAATTTTTTCATTAAATGTATTATAACATTTATACCTATAATCGATAAAAAACAGTAAAACACATCTATGACCTTCCTTTTCATGCGCGTATCATTTATTTATATATTAATAAGCTTTTTCTATTAAAATTGCTTCGAGTTGCTGATATCAGTGAGAAAAAGCTTCGAGTGCAAAGGGTTAATAATAAAGTAGTTATAACGGTCATAGTTACGAAATAAATCGTAAGACAACGGGTTGGTTGTCACGAGTCATTTGGCAAATATAAAAACAAAGTGAGATCACGAGAACAGCGATGAATCGCAAACAGCAGCTTACCTGGAAAACAAGATGCCTGTCGGACCGAGAATCTTCCTGAAACGCACTTTTAACGGCACATTCTACGAAATGGTAACGGCACGCGTCAGAACGTTTACGCCGAACACGTCGATCGACGCATAGAATCGACGGAACGACGAAACCAGGCGAGCCCTTTCGGTACCACGAACAGATTTCCACTGAGGCAACGAGCCACGGGCAAAATTTGAAAATTGCCGATCTTGATTGACCAACTACTCGCAACGGTTATAAAGCGCAATCTGCCAATCAACTTCTCCCGCGTTCCTCCGACTCGTGCACTCGCACAAATTATCCACAAGTAATACTCGGCCTGCTTCGCGTTTCCAGGAACCAACGCGGCCTTTAAGCTTTATTTAGAACTTTTACTGCGAGAACCGAATTTGGCAACGCGGTACTGAACACCGTTGAACACCCGGGGAACGAAACACTGCGGCGACTAAGATGCAACTATCGAGAGATCGAAAATTCAAATTTTTAGTTGTACCGTCGTGGGCGCGTTCCAACGTGCGGTTCGAGCGGAGAAAAAAACCGTTACGCGGTGGACAATGAGTTACGACCGTTCCGCCGCGAGTTTTATTTATGTGCGCTGATTATTTGTCGGGTAATCGATAGCTGGTCAGAAATTAACGTATGGGAAACGATGCGCTAACCGCGACGCTCCGCCTCGTTCTCTTACGCGTGTTTTGCATTCAAGAGTTGCTCCCGACGAACGACTTATCTTTGTCAAATATTAACACTGTCAACGCAATCTCGGTGTACCGTGGTACAATGTGTTTCGTTTTCAAGGAAGAACATAATTCTTTGGAAGTGACGCAATTTTCTAGCGACGCGCAATTGGCTTATGAAAAATCCTCCCCTCTTCGAGAAAAAAGTAATTTCAGGGGAGATGATGCTTTCTTCAGAGATGGAACTGCGAAGTCTGTAAGTACCAATGTTTTAATAGAGATTTGATATCGTTACAGGACATGTTCAAGAAATGTTTATTTTACATACGACATAAGAATAACGCATTTTTCTGGGAGGGACTCTACTATAAAAATATAATATGTAAAAGTACTATCATACATCTTATGTAATAACTATAAGTAAATATATTCTTCATGAAGCATAATGTTTCTGTACATCGTTTAACTGAACTGCCTCTTAGAGGATATTATGAACTAATGAAATTGTTACAATTCATTTTTCCACCATGCCTGTTTTATATCTAGAACATTTTTATCTTTATGTCACGCGTGACATAGTTCTTATTGTGAGTATACCTAATTGCTTTGTTCGAAACATTTCTTTTTTCTTTATAGAAATAGATGCGCCGTATTATATTGCCTAATTTATTTGCATCAGTTAATTATTGCAAAATAGGTAAGGTATTTTCCATCATGTCTTATGCGCATCTTCCTGCGCATCAACCTGGATTTCGTTGTTGCATATATACGTTGAATCTGAAGTACTTTCACCTAAAACATAATACAGTTATGATTATGGAATAATGATTCGCATTTTTCCAAGTAGAACAAAAATAATTGAATTTGACAGTATCATATACTTATATAAGAATGCTGCTTTCCTTTCAATATATACTAACATTTCAAGAAACACATCTGCCATTAAGGACAATGTTAACATGAAATATTTAATGGTTATTGTTAAAATGAATTAAGATTAATATATAGAATGTTAACATTCTCTAAAAGTAACCCTCTGATTAATAATGCAATACTGTCATGGAATAGAATAATAATTCTTATTGTAAATGAAGGTATCAACTTAATCAGTCTTGGTTTTGTTACAAAGATTTTATGCAAGAGTATTGCAAAAAGTGAAATACCATAATCTAGAAAAATAACATAAAAGTCAGTGGTATGTGTTCAACAGATACTATTGCCTATAGTACCTTACATGCAACTAATTACCGTGCAAAAATAACAAGGCTGTTTAAAACCACGTACGTGTGAAATGTTGAAAAACATTCCGTAAACATTAATTTCTAATTATTAGGCAAGCTTCATCAGCTTCTATGTATACATTATATATACATACATGTATTGAAAATGTCAGAACATTGGACTGACATATTTGCACAACACCTTAGTGCACCCAATCAACAAAACATACACATAGTATTACAATGTTGGCTACTACCTATGGAAACTTTCATTGAGTTCTAATTGCATAAGGAAACTAACAGTTGAACTAATATTAAAATGGATAGTTAGAAATGTAATTTCAAATGGAGTAAAATAAGGGAGAATGAATGAAAACTAACAATTTAATAGATCAAAGTAAATAAAAAAATAGACACGATAATCAATTTAATTATTTCACGGATATTAATAGTTTCAATTTTGTCAGTAAATATAAATTTGAAAACATACTCAACTTAAATGATAATCATACAAAGCTTTTAGTTTAAAATATAGATTAATCCACTTAATCCACACATTCAATGATAAGAAAATTATTATTCAATTTATATTATTACTTCTGTTCATAATCTTTGAATATCCTGACTTCAATTTCATAACTTTATTTATTAATAAAATAACTATCAAGAAAGTAAATTAAACTGATTATCGAATTAAATGAAAAGAAGCATGAAATCATGAAAATAAATTATGTACCGGGTATACAGCACACTATCAGGATAGGCCCAGTGATGCGATTTATAAATGCGTTGATTCTGCTTGCCCATTATGCTTAGTATCTAGATACTTGTCTGCAAGAAAGATGTTTGCTTATTACACAAAATTAATTCTACTTACGTTCCGAATTAGGCCATGTAAAATACTATATTGTATTAATATTCGTAGTTAATAATATATTATGAGGGTTCGAAATTAAAAATAAGTAGTACAACATATTAGAAATAAGTTTTAAAGTGTTAAATGGTAAACCCTGCTGGAAGCAATTAGATGCACAAATGAATATTTTTCAAACAAAATGTAATCATCTGATAAAATAAAGTAAAATATTTATCAAAATTAAACACAATCATCTTGTATTAAATTTGTTCCACTATTAAAGTATATATCATAAAAATGTGTAGAACACATTAAGCACCTTACAATTCTATCGTTTTAACGAGAAAGATTCTGGTACTTAACGCGTTAAGAAAAATTGAATAATGATACCTCCTTAAATTTGACCCAACAATCTGTCCACTTAACTCCAAACTTGAGAACAGTTCATGCACTGCATAAAAATAATTCAATTTTTTATTAAACCGTTTAAATTCGTATCTCATGTTTATTCAAAATCTAGAATGTTGAAGAAATGATTAGAGATAGTTTTCAAGAGAAACGGAAATTATGGTTCAATTTGTTTTCCGTGGAATCTATAATTTCATATGTTTGTTTTAATTGTTTGAACTTTGAGTTTTCTAATCTTTCATTATCAATCAGGCAATGAATTAACTATCTTGCAGATAATATACTGTGCATATACATATAAAAGCAGTAGTGCACTACGATTCTTACAACACCTACATTATACTTGCAATGAAAGCCTCTGATACAAGACAATTAGAATCTTCTTGGAAAGAAGATTATATAATTTGTTCCAACTTGTGAATACATATATGTATTAAAAATCAAGCTGATTAGCAGCGATTTCCATACGGACATGCAAATAAGATGCCAAGACAGAGTTTTTTACTCTTAGGATGACTTTCATAAAGTAACTTACCTCCAATCGTGAGATCGACTATCGCTTTGTCCTTCTGTATGTGCAACGCTGTGAGGAAGAAAAACAAGCTTCCGATAACTTCCACAAACATCGTCAAGAACATCGCGTACTGCAAACTGCGAAATTCGACAAAAGTGTCATTTACTTGGTGCACTGTTGACTTCATGTGATCAGTCATACTCAAGTCTGGAAGAAGAACTGTTTTCAGTCCTTCTGACAACTGAAATCAATCAACAAATATACGAGCAACTAATAACGCGAAAAATACAGATAATAAAATAATTAACTCAAGAACTGGATGGAACTAATTTTAGATCCAAAGGAATATGCATGAGTATTTACCAGACCAATAAGATAAGGACTTCCTGCATCTCCAAAAGCATGTGCAAAAAGAATTTGGAAAGCTTCAGCTGTAGATCTTCTTGTTGGTAATACTACATACTGTAAACAGCAAGCATTATAAATTTTAATAATGCGAAATTAATGCGAAAGTGTTAAAAGAAGAGAAATGTTTATTTTACATACCAGCAATATATCTGCTACAATGGACCAATTTAAATTTAAAGATAATTGCCCAAAGAATATTAATGTGTAACACAGAACAGAATTTGTGTTGGCAGTTATAGTTGCAAAAAATAATAGTGGTACACTAATCAGTAATCCCGCGGCACATATTAGTGGATCAGCATGTGGCCAATGCACTTTTAATCTCTGGGCTAGAAATGAACCTAATGGCACTCCTATTATACCAGATGCCATTCCTATTAATCCAAACTTATATGCTACACTGAAATATTTGAAACATTTGAAACAGTGAAATTTACCCAATTACATAAACAGATTATTACAAAATGAAGATAACATACTCATCTGGATCAACATTGTTATTTGACTGCAATGCAATTCCTAGCTGCAAGAATGTTGGGGCCCACCAAGCTAGTGCCCCAGTTACAAAGGCTACACATGTAAACCCAGCAGTGGAGTACATAAAACTTTTACTACAAAGTGAAGAAAAATTGCAAATAGTAAAATATTATAAACTGCACAGCATTACATATACAATATTTACTTTTTTAACAAATCCTTGATGTCATTGGACCATGCAGTATTTGTTAAATGAACCCCACCTTCTCTCTCCCCTCTAATAGGGTCTCTCACTACTGTAAGCAATAAAATTATTGCTATTACACCCAGAATGGGTGTAATACGTAAACCCCATTGCCATACGCCTGTAGCCCTTGCTGTTTCACCTCCTGTTATATATCCCAATCCGCTGAAAGTTATATATACCTATTAATGTACATTAATGTAAAATGTATACATTACATTAACATACATGAATACATAAATAGCATCAGGTGACATTTTAATTTACCTGCCAACTGGAATTGCAAAATAAAAAACTGCAAGCATTTTAGATCTCATATTTTTAACAAATAAATCACTTATTATTGTTGGGGCTATTGTAGAATAACTAGCTTCACCAATACCAACTAAAGTCCTAAATAAAATAAACCATCCAAATGTCTGAAATGAAGTCACACAGAAACATCAATATGGATTATATGATGAAACAAATACAATGACTAACACGGACATTTATTAGCTAAAATCTATTAATCGTAACCCTGCAATTAACAAATATTTCATAAAAATAATACATGATAAGCCATTCTACCATTTATCACATTTGTCACAGTCAATATCATATCAGAATTTGTACCTTCATGTAGGAGCCAATAAATGTTGTTAAACACCATAGGAACACGCCACTACTCATTATAATTTTCCTATTGTATCGATCCCCCAAATAACCAAACAACGGTGCGAACACCATGTAACTTAATATAAATGCAGTTTGCAGGAAGCCTAATTCGTCATTACCAAGCTTGAAATTCGCTTTAATGTCGGTCAACATTCCTATAACAGTTGTACAATAGATTTTTATTCGGTTTCTATTAATAGCATCTGGTAGTCAGCCCAAAGGAATACCAGATGCTAACTTCCCATAGATTCCGAGTGAAAAATACAAACCAGCGATCGTGAAACGATCCATATAATTAATCAGATTGACGAAACATAGTACGCCGACCGTGATCCACTCACTTCTGCTGACCAAACGAAGTTCCGACGGCATTGCTGATCCTCTTATTCGTCTTTCTCTGGAAGTGTTTTGGGCATTCTCCGCATTCACCATATGATAATCGTAGGACGACACGTTCGCTGCGATGGCATCATCGGCCATGACTCAATAAAGTCGCTTCGGTGCCAAATGCTATTTACATTGGCACAAATCTCGTCTTTCTCTAAAACCGTCTTAACCTGTTCCGTACCATAACATAACCTCAAAGAACCATCGGTTCACGATACGATACCTTTTAATCCACTACACTGTATCACCGGCCGATGCACTCACTGATAATGTCGCGCCATTCAGACTTTTACAATACCGACTATGACTTGTAAAAATATGCGTTTATGTATATTTATATATCGTACAACCGTATTAATCGCATGACAACGTCAGAAGCTGATACATTTTGTGCATGTCAATGCGTGTGTAGAGACTCCACACGTTCGCGTCGGTCACTTAACTTTGACAGTCGTCAATCACCGAGGAACGTGTTTGTATGTTATTTTCTTGGAACAATAATATAGCCATACGTATTATTTTTCATCGTGACTCATACGACAGTATGGTTTTTCCCCTATTAATGATTTCCTGCTTTTTTACTATCATTTCCTGCACAGTAAGCAAAATACATGTAAGATAAAACCATGCTATTTATTCACTTTATTTTTACATTTTTTTTTATTAATGTGTTGTTAAACCGAGAATTTTAAGCATATGCCGTCCTCTAGCGGTAGTCACGCTAATCTGAGTCAATGTCTCGCTTATTTTATCACAGATGGCGCAACAATGTTCTTTAGCATTTTTTCATATAACAATTTGATGTAAAAAAAAGTAGTAATTATCGATATAGGGTATTCATAATCTGGAAGATTTGATAAATGTTCTATTCCTTCTTTACTGGAATTGGAATATACATAAATTCCATATATCGATCAATCTTATTAATCAAACGATGTACAAAAGATCGTTAAAGGTAGAAAAAGAAGGTGGGAAGAAAGAATAGCCCGTGAGAATTTGTAATAACATATATTCTATGTAACACAATACTTACATAGGTACGTCTATGTATATATTTCGAATGCATACATATATATCTATATATATAATAATTGTGCATTATTATATATACAATATATAATAATTAATAAAATATAATGTTCAATAATGTTAATCGTATGACTACAATATATTATTATCTCGTTTATCCTTTCATCATTTTATTTTTAAATCATCGTCATCGTCGTCGTCGTCGTCGTCGATCGTTAACTACGCTCTACGATTTATATCGATTTAATATGTATATATATGCATTTATAATAACAATAATGATCTCAAAAGGCTGATACAATATTCGGCTATGCGTACGGATAGCTTGAGATTTCTTATTCGATTAGTTTTACATAGTACTTATGTTTCCCTTATAGTACAGTGGGTTCATCGTATGAACCGCCATCTTTAACTTCTGCCTAAACTTATGTCGGTTTACCGGGGGGGAAAAAAGAAAAATACGCCTTCACCGTTGTCGTCTCGTTAAACTCGACTTAACATAAATATAATATTGAATATAATGCTCGCGCCCGATCGAGACGCGGTCCTGACGCGTTCAATCCGGATCGGACGATCGTTCCCAAGAGAACTCATCGACTGCCGCGGAGGATCGACTGTTTTCCAGACTAATCCACGCGTTAATTATACCACAATAGCATCTTCGACCACTCACACCGACCGAGACGTTTTTTCGATTAACTGAACCGAACGGTCAACTTCGTCTCGCGGATCGCGCGTTAAATTGACTATCGAAACGCGTAACCATCGCACTCCACGAATTCGACGGCTAATCCAAAGGTCTGTCCTCTCCTCGCGAGAGTGCACAACCAACGTTATTGCAAAATTGATTTCGTAAAGACATCGTCAGACTGCTAGATTGTTCACGTTCGACGTTCTCGCGCGTCGATCCTCGAAGCTGAAACGAAACAGGAATCGACGGTTGCGATGAAAGTGTCTCCTAGATCGAAGCCGACGCGAAACGTTCCCGAGTCGAGTCGAAAACTCGCGTCCCGCAAACCGCGAATGTTTAATTAATTACAGCGCACCCGAACGGCGCGGAATTCTTAACGAGAGAAACCGAAGTTCCATTTTCCGAACGCAGATCGCGGAGAACAAGATTCAACGCGACCGTTCGCGATCCGCTACGGTCACGGCGGTCGACGCGCCGACAAGATGGCGACTGCCGAGACGTAAAGATGTCGTCGCGGAACGAATGAACCTCCAGTAACTGGAAATAATTGTATTCGGTATTTCTCGCCAGCGTAACAATCGATTTGACGGTTACGCAAGGAGCAACGACACGGATATGATTTTTATCGGTTCCGTTCCCTGACAGACCACTCTGTGTGCCACCAGCGACATAATCGTATTTCCCTTTCACCGTCGGTTAATGCGATTTTCGTGGAAAATACGTTTCCCGAAGTGGGCTACGGTGATTTCCTATGTTCCCCAGCGTCACCGTACCGCGCTGCAGTCTTCGCGCGCTTGAACAGCTTATAATATCCGATTATTTCGTTGCAGGTCTCCTCCTTCCCCGTTTCCGCTTCGCTTAAATATAGTTAACGTATACATGTTAATATTGCTACTGATAGATCGAAGCAGTCACTCTACCGACGAGAGTACAGGTTGTAGCACACGAATAAATTAAAGCACTCCGTTGACCACGAGGCACTAGTTTCTTAACAATTAAATCAGCTGAAGATCGTTTAGTAGGTGTCAAGGTATAGACGTTTGATGGATATCGGATTCGACTATAATTCCGCGGACTGGTAAACACGCGCACGCGATAAAACTCTGCGATCGTGGATCCACTGGCTCCGCTCCTCGATATCCGTTCTTGTAAATTACTCTATAAAAGTGTCGATTTGCATAAAATCCCGCGGCCCGGCTGTTATACTTACGTTACGGTTCATCGTGTTTCCTCGTGTTCGTGATATAGCGGTGTAACGATCCGGGCCGCGGATTATACTGGCCGATCGGCCGATTCTTACGAGTTATTTTACAAAGATCCCGAATCGGTAAATCGTTTCGCCGCGACCACGAAATCCAAGTTCGAACGCCGATGAAACGGAAATCCATCGTGGGAAGCGCGTCGCTCGGAAATCGTCACGCGCGGCGACCCAACGCGCTCGCGAACCTTCGGAATCGGACGAACGACGTTTGTCGGTGTTCACTGTTTTATTAATTGCTAATATGTTTCTAGGATTGTGCATGTCCCGGCGGAGCGTTCGAGTCCGCCCCGGTGAATCGCGCAGCGATCTTAAGAGCGTCGTTTTCAGTGAACCGATGAAAGTTTGATGGTCTGTCGTTGATCGATTAGGTGCCCCGGGTATTCTGATACCTGGGCTGCTCGTGGCCGCGAAAAATATGAGGAAAATGTCAATGATAAATTTGCAAATTTTTCAAATCCAATGGAATTTTTATCTCGACGTTCTCGCGTTCGAGCGATAGATGTACATTGTTAAAGGGATTCCCCTTCGAAATCAATGGAAACAAAGTGTTTGAGGTTGAATCGAATTATCGAAAGATGTTCGACAAGTTCCGCGAACGTGTGTGCTCGGAACAACAATCGGAAATATACGATCGGTCGAGAACCGGCCGCCATTTTGAGAACGCGAAGTGGATCGAGAAAATTTACTCGGACGCTGCGATTATGTCTCATCATGGCACAAACAGTAAAGCACCTACGATAATTAATGTCTCGTATAATTCATTCTCTTTTGTTCATCGTCTCTTCGATGAAATATACACATATACTTTCTTCTCTTTTTTTTTTCTTTTTTGAGCAACGAAATAAATATTATGCGGTAAATACACGATTGAAAGACTTTTGTCAGTCGAAACAAAGGTATGTCGATATGGTTTTAAACTCTAAATCGTCTACATTACTATCACAATGGAACATTAAACGTAACGATCGGGCTGCGCGTTTTATGCACTCATCATTCGCTTGCTCATCAAGCGCAATAACATAAATACGTTACCCGAATCTAATGAACCGCTCCATTCTATTTTTGACGTAATTAAATTAATAATACGAAACGTTAACGTCGCACAAACACTCGCAGCCCGATAATACTATGAAACTACGTATATACTCAGTACACCTTCCCTTTCACTGCCTCGCCAAGGTAAAAGTCAGAGCTATCTAACCAAGTACTAATTAGTAAAGAAAACGGGAGTACTCGTATACTTTCAAAGCAGAATCCACCACTACGATTACGTGAAACCTATTAATAAAATCGTTAACACCGTGATTCGTCCGCAATACGATTACCGCTAAAATTTATCCTTCTCCTTTAACCACTACTAAATTAACTGACTCATTCTCTGAAAGAGGAATCAACGAAATACAAGAAACTACTGGATTTCGCACAAGAAAACCGTAATGGAGCAATCGCGCAGTGGGAAAACATCGCCGCATTCCAACGAACGAAGATAAAAACGATTGAAAACCTTTCGAAAAGCTCGACTCTTTAGTAGAAAGCTTCAGCAACCGAGAGTATCGAAATATTCCAAAGATCAAATCGAGCAAGCTCACAGCGTCGACGGTACGCGAGAAATCGAAAATCCGTACCGATGCAACGATCAACGTTTCCGTTTCGTCCCACGAAACTTTCAACTCGCCGGCAAAACGAACAATTATCGGAAGGCGAAATCCTCGCGGCGGGCGATCTACCGCGCAGCGCTCATTAATCTCCAACGAACCGTCTATCAACGAGTCCCGGCGCCGAAATCCCGCCGCGAGTCGCGTTCCGGCGTGGCCCGCGATAATCGTTATTTTCGTATTCCGCGAGCGCCGCTAATCTGGAATACCGGTCGCGGTTAACGAACGAACGAACGAACGAACGAACGAACGAACGAGCGAGCGAGCGAGCAAACAAACAAACAAACGAGCGGCGGACAAGCGACCGGAACGCAACGGGAAGCAACGAAACGAAATGAACGCGAGAGCGAAAGAAAGAAAAAGAAAAAGAACAGAGACGCGGGTATCCGTCGGTACGCACGCTTGCGTGTTAACGGTGAAAACAAGATATGAGTCAATAAGCCGACACACGTTTGTTAGACAGGTTTATTACCATTCAAGGAGTCCGACGAATAAAATTCGGTTACACTTCATGTCCGTTCAATTCCAACGGTCTCGCCGCACAGTTCCGCGGTTACGATTCCGCGCGTCTAACTATCTTACGAACAACGCGCGTTTCGTATTGGTTTCATTTTCATGCCGAGCGTCGAATAATGCGACATAACCGCAGCGTTTTCGTGTAACTGTGTGTACGTATGCGCGGGTGTGTTTGTGTGTTTGTGTGTTTGTGTGTGTACGTATTTACATCCTGTCGGACCGCGGTCTCTCGCGATTCGTCGATAAATAGAAGCTTCTTGCAGCGATATGCCGATATGAAAAGGGATTCGATGAGAGCGAGAGAAAGAGAGAGAGAAATTTGAGAAAGGACAGACGAAGGAAGATGAAGAAGGTAGAGGGGAGAGAAGAGAAAGGAGGGAAGAAACAGTGAAAGAGAGAGTGTATGTGTGTCGCTGGTTGCACGTCGGTGCCAGCCCACTTCCGGATCGGCTGGATGTTGACCGTCGATTGCTCGTTAACGCGATCCATCGCACGCATGGTACCTACGCGACGCGTAGAGTATTGCATAATACTA